ATCTTCAATTTTCCAAGACTTGTTTTAGTTGCTGACTTTTCTCGTTTTTAAAAAATATTAAAGCTGCTTCTGCGTAATTGTTGGGCATTTCCAAGTGGCTAGCGATTAAGAAAGAGGCTAAGTAATAAGTTGTAGTATAAATAAAAATATCAATTAATTAGACATATAATTCCAATAAACATCTTCGCTTGTTAGGAACTTTTTCAATGCGACAGTCATTCAGTTGACATTCGCTGGACAACTTTATTAAAGCCCCAAGCTAACTTACAAGCCGCACAGTAGTCCGTTGCTCTGCGGGGTTTCTGTAGAAAAAACGTCGACTCGCACAAGTTGTAAAATTTAAACAGAAAAAAATATTAAAAATGACAAACGCTATAAAAAAAAAAAAACTGATCCACGCCGGCGGTCAAACAGGCACATAAAAAAATAACCAAAAAGTAAAAAAAAAATTAATGACTTCCAAGCAAGGCGGCAACAATTTAAACAATACAAAATTACATTATCCACAACACATCAATAAAACATTTTGTTGTTGACTTCGATTGCTTTGAGCTGGAGAACTGGACAACTGGAGAGCTTGAGACCTGGAGAATTGAGACCCGCAGAGGCCTCAGGCACCGGCTCAGCCGGCTATCGTGGCGAAAAATCGATTGGGTGTGACGCATAAATAATTGCAGTCATTTATTTAAACATTTATTGCGGTGTCCGCAATGAGATTTCCATGTGCAGAAATCTCTAACGCATAATTAAAAGCCGTGAAGTCCGCAGGCTAAACTTGTTTATGAAATCATAGATACATATACCAAAAATACGATACGATACGATATATGAATGCGAATTATAACCGGCTCACTTATCTCTTACAAATCGGGTTTCTGCGCTTTTTTATTGGTTTTTTAATTTTAATTCTGCCAATAAGTCGCAGCTAATTTGTATCTACGTCTCGAGTCGAGGGTCGCGACACTTAATAAGCAACGAAATTTCATGGAGCATGAAATTTTGCTGTTAGCTCATTAACAGTTCGGCGAACCAACTTCAAATTTCAAGCATTTTAATATATTCATTCCGTCGCGCTTCCATCGAACGAACACATTAGCATAAATTTATAAACAAACACATAAATCAATATGCAACTGACTAAAGCGTTTGCCTTCAAATAATGAAGAAATAAAAACAATTTCATGGACTAGTTGCAGTTCAATAGACGCCAAGCTGATAACCGCCCTGACATGGAAATCTATTAGAAATATTGAGCATCGCCTACAAGGCGGCAATTGTGTAAATAGAGAGCCATAATGAGACATTCATTGATAATTATAATTGCGGCTATAGGCAAACATTTCAGTTTCATTTACAATTTGAACAAGAAATTGACATAGCTGACGCTTTGTGTCA